TGTTATAGCAGCCCTAGCAAACTAATACCAGTGGTTAGCCCCCAGACCAAAGAGAATAAGCACAGCTTTGCTTCCATTGGCAAAACCTCAGAAGGAACTAGTCTTTGGAGTGTCATCAGAGTCCTTCCCAAACTCGCAGATGGCCAAAGTTCACCTTCACCATCCCCCCTCCAATAAGGTAATTGATTTTCTTATTCTCGACTGTTATTTTTAAATCAGACTTTGGAAGAATCCCTGCTGTGGTTATTGTAGACTATTAAAGGCTGTGCCCTAAGTGACCTCCTGAGAGACAGAGATAGAGATAGAGAGAAATATGGATTGACTTCTTTCTCCTTATCTGGGCTGATCCTTTTACCAGAGTCGGGGGTCAGGAAGTGATGCCAGAGAGGCTGAAGTGTGGGAAGGGCAGTGGTAGAGGCTGTGCCATCCTGCAGGGCCATGTCGAGTGGAAGGGGTGCACTAGGCCCGGCCTAACTCCGGGACTTTTAGGAATTCATGTTAGGTTCATGGATTCTAACAGTATCACCTGTCCCTTGTTTAAGTCAGTTCTTCACTAGAAGGTGGAATCCTAAAAGATAAACAGCATGCTTTCATATGTACCCAGCCTCTAGGAAAAGGATAGACTCAAATTTTAAATGATAGAAAACTTCTGTAAAAACATTTTTTTCTGTCCAAAATGATTGCCTATAAATAAACCTTTAGAATACAAATCGTTCCTAAAGACCACCTATTCCTTTTTAATAATTAATAGTAAAAGACAATTAGACTCAGAGAGAGCAGGCAGACAGCTCTGGTGGGAAGAAGTATGTTAGGGGTAGACTGAGTAAAAAAAATAAAGAACTTACGGACCTGGACAACAGAGAGGTGATTGGGGTGGCAGTGGAGGTAGAAGAGTGTATGGCGGGAGGGATTAAAGGTGATGGTGAAAAATAAAGGAAAAAAATGTTTAACATAGAGAAAAACAATTCATAGAAAATGATGTGGCCTTTAGAGTTAGGCTTTTGATTAAAATCTCAGTTCTACTTTTTAGCAGTGTGAACCTGCACATGTCAGTTGCTGTCATTGACCTCAGTTTCATCTGCAGGATGGGGAGTATAGTACCTACCTGGTTGGGTTGTGAGGAAGAAATGAAAATATGCCTTGTACACTGCAACTACTCAAAGACAATGAGTGTTTCTATTAAAGCTTGTCTGTAACATAGCACCCAACTCTTCCCACTCTAAAATGAGGTAACACCCCACATTCCACAGTCTCACTGCTTGGTGGAAACACAAAGGTCAGCTAAAGATCGAAGGAGTATTGGTCCCGGTAGTTAATTGCTAACATGCAAACCAGAGGAAGGGCAAACATTCCACAGGTTCACAGATAGCTTGTGGACTTTTACAAAAGAACAGATTTATTCAGAATTAGTTTTCCATCAGCTGGAATAAACAGGCCAGTAAGAAAGAGGAGGTGTGAACATGCTTGGGCACCATTCTCGTAGCAGCTGTTGAGGTGCCTTTAGTGGGTGCACTCGGGACCACGTACTCTCTTGCAGGTATTGGTGCAGGAAGAGCAGAGGTCGTGGGTCAGTGCCTTGGTTTCCATCAATCTGCATTCAGGCTCCTTCTCCAGAGCAGACCCTCCTGCCATTTCCCGCCCCCTCGCGGGCTCTTCTTCTGCCCTGAAGTGCTGCCCCCGGTTCCTTCCTTCTTGGTCCCTGGCTCCTCTCTCTTGGGCCCAAGGTAAGCTCTCACCATGCTCAGCTCATCCCAGACCTGGCTCTCAACCCTCAAAAGCACTATGTCCACAATGAACTCATCTCACTGAACTCACACTTCCACTCTCACCCAGCTAGGCAGCCTGGTCACAGCACTCCTCGTCCTCCCCTCCTCTCACGGCTATCACAGGCCCCTGCAGGACTGGGGCTTGGTCTTACTCCGTAGCTCCAGTGCTAGACAATGCCTGGTATACTGCAGGTGCTCAAGAAGTATTTGTGGGGTGCCCAGGTTGGGGACAACAAATGCTTTTGTGTCCCCTAGCAGCACCAGCATCCATGGCCATAGCATAACCTAATCTTGCCAACTAATTACCCTTTTGTCTCCTTTCCTCTTTCGCTAATTGCTTCCCCAGCAATACGTCTAATAAAATAATATGATACATTACTCTGCACATTTGAATATTCAGAAATAGTAAGGAGCCTAAGTTTGATATAGCTTGTCACAGACTCCAGTAATTCTCCCATTAATCAATAAGCAAAAAAAAAAGGAACAGAAAACCAGAATTGGATATAGAATTTTTTTCTTCCAAAGACACATTTTATACAATTTTCAACATTTATACTTTCAAACAAAATGAGCCAAAAATACACCCAGCGCTAAAAAAAATCAGAACAGAAGTAATACAATTTTGATTTCAATATTTTAAAATACAGAAATTGAAAAGTAAGAATACCAAATACAATTTTAAACAAGTCACTTGTCCTCCCCTCTAGGAACCAATTAAACTATTTAAAGACTTACAAATTTAAAACAGAAGCAAAATAAATACTGTACACTTTCCCTGCCTGCAGGCAAAAGATGGGAAATACTGTTAAGAGTAAAAAAAAAAAAAAAATGCTCTTTAAAGCTTCAGCATCCCGTTTCCCAGCCACACCCCACTCTGTAGTCACACAGTGTGCTTCTGTATTCAAAGGACACACATGTGCACACACACTGACTGCCTATACAAACAGACAAGACACTACTCCGCAGACACCCCAAACAAGAAATGGTACCAGTCTCCTTGGACCATGGGCATAAAAATCAGTTAAGAAAAGTCAGGCTAGCAAAACATTACTACAAAACTAATAAATACCATAGCCAACAACAGTCCCCTTTTCAAATTTCACAGATTTGAAATCTCTAAAATCAATACTACCCCACCCTATCACCTCCCTCTACCCCCTCAAAAAAATAAAATAAAACACACAAAACCTGCTGAAGCACTGGCAAAGTTAGACATTTCACAGTAAATGTGAAAATTCATATTATATAATCTCTTCAAATGAACCTTTCACCCTCTTTCCACAGCATGAAACTATTATGGCTTAATTTATATTAAAAGTAGAAAAGTCTTTTCGGAAGGAAATACAGTCTGCAAAGTTGCACATGCATTTCCTGATCAGTGCTATTTCATACCTAAAAACTGCATGACGCTTTTGCAGTCAGAAGCTATTTTGGGAAAAATTGAGGTTATAGCTTTTGATTCAGTCTAACCATAAATGTAAGGCCCTTAGTTTGGTTTAGGTTTCTTTTGCAATATAAAATAACCTGGGGGTTTGCTTAGCAAGTGACACCTCAGGTCCCTGACTATAATGTGGAAGTTATATGTATGCTTTGTAAAAATAAAAGGTTACCTATGAATCTTTGAGGGAAGAAACGACTCTAGGCAAGGAATTAATTCCTCACTATATATTCCACTTAATGGTAACTGTTACCAACCAACTACCATAGGAATATGAGTATGTCTGGGTTATTCTGTTCCTGCAAGATAATATATATTCCAGCACTTAGGATCATTGTTTTGGTGAAAAACCTTGGGAGGAAATAGCTGGCATCTTAAAAAGGAAATGGCCAAAATAAAAGCAGGTGGAGGCAAGGTTTATCGTTATGATTAAGTTCCACTTAGGACTGCTTTTTGAAGTAAGGAAACATGAGTTCAGAATGTCACGGGTCTTGCATAGGTAAGCTACTTGGAGATCACCGGCTACGTGGTAGCCAGGGTTTATTAGTGAAATAGTGCAGAGCAGATCAATGTGTTGGAAGAATCACTGAGTGTAGTTTTGAAAGGGTTTTAACAAAAATGTAATGTTGCAGTTGTTAAGACAAAGCTTTAGGACACTAGAGAGGGCACCATGGGTGAGAGGGACACTCTACGGGGCAGAGTGCAGGTAAATAGCATTATTTTCCCTATCCATTAAAGAGGAGAAAAATAGTATAAAAGAGTAAAACCAGTTAAATATAAGCTAATTGTTTTAGAAATAGGCATTTGCTTCTTAATGACCTTAATTTTTAAAAATTTATGTAAGGGATATGAAAGATTTGACTTTTATGTCATGATTTTCACTGAAGAACAAATGAAAATAAGAGCAGGGTTTTTAGTAAGGCTGCAGTATCAAAATTACTTTAGTCCAACAGCAATGTAGTGAGTATATTACTTCTGCTTTCTTTCCATCTGGCTTCTAGCAAGCACATCAACATCACCCCCAGGACAAGCATGAGGCTGCACAGCATCACAGAAAACTGTGGTAGGAAGCAAGGTACCAGAGAGGTCTAGAATCTACTGTGACCCTAGGCAAATCACTGCCCTATTTGGGTTCCATTTGTCTTCTTTATTTACCGGTAACATGTTTTTCCTAATGACTTGATGCTCAACCTTCTCGAGATTGCTTTAGATGAAGATCTAGGGCAGTGGTCGGCAAACTGCGGCTCACAAGCCACATGCGGCTCTTTGGCCCCTTGAGTGTGGCTCTTCCACAAAATACCACATGCGGTACATATAGTACAATTGAAATTTCATGGCCCATGCGCAGAAGTCGGTTTTCGGCTCTCAAAAGAAATTCAATCGTTGTACTGTTGATATTTGGCTCTGTTGACTAACGAGTTTGCCAACCACTGGTCTAAAGCATCTGGAAACAACTAGTGATCTTTAGCTTTGTGCTTTTTTTTTTTTTTTTTTTTTTTTTAGGGAGCAACTGGTTTAATATTTAATGAGAAAAAAATGAATTTTTGAAAAATTTTCAGATTGACATTATTAAGCCTTCATCTCCTTGTGAAATTGTAAAATGCTGATATACTGCAATAATTACTTCTGGCAGTGGTGTGCCGGGTGGCACGGTGATTCAGCAGCTCTTTGGGGGATCACTATAGAAAGCATCTCTTGAAACAAGCAGAAAGAATCTTTCCTTAAGTCATCTTAATAATTTCATAAGGATAAACATTATCACTCTTACCCATAAACTATTTCACTTTTCTTTCATGTCAAGCACTAATTTTAATTTTAATTCAGCACCTTGTTAGAGAGTCTTCAGGTTTTTTAGGTAGCATGCTCAGGGTACAGATTTGACATAAAACAAATTTTATGAGTAATAACAGTTTAAATTTTAAATGCATAAAAATGTGCATTATCAGTGGCAACTTAAATAATGAAAAATTAACTGCAAGTATGAAGTGTTAATAGATTAAGAAACACTTTCCCATGTATTTGTTAACTGCATTTTTATCCAAACTAACAAATGAGAAAACTAAGATGTAGAAAGAACAAGTGACTTACTCAAGGTCACACAGCTGATATAAAAATGGCAGAACCTGGACAAAAATCCAAGTCATCTGCTCTCTTTCATACAAAACCATGACCCTCTACTGCCAACATTAAATTGTTAATTTCTGAAACGTTTTTTAAATTTTAAAAATTAAAAAAATTTACTTCCACTTCTATATAGCATAGTATATCTCAACTGAGACAAATGAAGTTAATGCTTTTTTAAATAAATGGGCTCTTTTTTGCTTATGCTTGCTTACAAGTAAAAATAATACTGCTTATTTCCTAACGAAGATACCTTCAAAAGCAAAGACCACACTTCAACTTTGTACTTCCCCACAGAACTATGTAATGCTGGACACATAGTAGGTGTTTGATAAATACTTGCTGATCTCATATGAATAACTACAGTAGAGTTCATTTAAAAGGCAATAAGTGGGATTGTTAAAAAACAGAACAGTATTCAAGCTATTAATAAGTATTTAAGTAGTAATAAAGATGGCCTTGTTTTCTCTCTGAGTTTATAAGATGATTTCAGTCAGAATTTTCAATTTTGTATGCTTTAAAAATTAACTGATGATTATGAAGTTCAATGTATTTCTAGGATACAAAACTATTATAAATGCCAGCTTTGTACTGTTTACATCATTAATCAATACTGGAGAGCATTATATTATGTGACATTATGAATTACAGTACAGTGGATACTAGGTTAATAGAAGTTACTTACTTGAATCAATACAGGAAAATTATCTACTACTATAATTAAAAATGCATACATTTAATCATAATTCTTCTTTACATATTTCTATTTGCTTATAACTAGCTAAATGCCACCACTGCTGTCTTCCTAAGTTGTAGAATCTGTGCAGTAGTATTGTTTATAATGAGATCGAGGGAAAAACACAAGGTTGTCTGTTACAGTTGAGTCCAGATACTGGCTGCAATGACCTCATGGTTCAGTCATTTCCGAGCATCAGGGGATGCATCAGAGCCAGTAACTCTGTAAGACTAGGAAAGTTCCTGGACCAGAGGCTGAATCTGCACCATTCAGAAGAAGATACATGCATTCTGGTGTAGTGGTTATACTTATTACCCTGCTGAAAGTTTTTGTTTTGTTTTTTAACTTGGCCAGTTAATGGGCTAAAATTGCCAAAAACGAATCCACAGTACCTTCACTTGAAAGTTCCACATACCGTCTATTTACCAGCCTAAGTACCGAGAGTGGATACTGGCCACAATTTTAACTCATAAAAAGAAATTGTTTTATCTTAATTTTTATAGTTAAAGAAAAATAATCAGGTAATTAAAAACACTTGGAGCTGTGAAAAGAACATAAAAAAAAAGAACCCAAATCATGACATAACTGAAAAAATATAGATAGCTCTTATTTCTTAAACAAAACATATTCTATAAACACTAAAATGACATCTACAGAAAACCAAAACATCACAGTAATATACTGTGTGGGAAGGTGGCACAATCAGTCAAACCTAAATTTTTAAATTTTTAAATCAAATGACTAACCATTCCCATCTCTTAACTAGTTTTGGCATCATGTAGAGTTTAAGTAGGCCACTTATAGGCATTTAGTATTTCCACAAAATCCTTCCTGAAACCTGGTAAGATCCATACATTGATTCAGTCACTTGGGCCAAAAAGGCTAATTCATAAGCTACTTCATATTTATTCCATGATATATTGGAATGAAGACAGAGTAAGAAATATCTCTTTGAAAATACACATTTGAATGCAATCACGATGGAGGATGGTATGGATTTCTTTTTCTTAGCACTGCACATGATACTTAGTATAGAAGGAAAAGTTCTGCTACCTTGGCTCAGTAAATAAAAGGATATCCATAATATGGCCATATTTCTTCTTCATAAAAATAAATTTGATCTTATTTGCCTATATTTTCTTTGTAGGAACTTGTATAATGCTCTCCTGTCAGCACTGGAAATATCTCCACTCCACCCCACTCCAGCCCTGAAATTACTTATTTTTAAGCAATAGGGGGAAATATTAACTATCATTAGCTGGCATTTAGTAAAAATTGTGCATAAAAGAGATACATGATTACTTTAAAGCTCAATTCAGATACTTAGCCTCAATATGCACTGGCTAAGTTAGGATAGATGGAAGAAACTACAAGAAGCACCCATTTTCCTTCAAACCCATGTCTTAAATAATTCTTTAGAAGGTTAAGAAATAAAAAAACTAAACACACACACACACACACACACACACACACCTGCAAAAGGTCTACTCCTACATGCTTGCTTCTACACAATTAATATAGTATAATCCTATTATATTACGGCTTATTTGCAGAGTTGAACAACTAAGTCAAATCTTATTTCCCAACAAATTAGGTACACAGAATAAAAGCATCATAAAATATAACCTTTATGGCAGGTGTTTGGTCCTGCCCTCCAACATCAGCAGTATGAAGGCCCTCTGTAGTTATAAATGCATTTGAAAAACTAGAAATATGACAATTTAACCAAACTTATAATACTTTTTCCACAAATAGGAAAAAGATATTAAAGCTGTTCTCTTTGGAACCCAGGTCATCAGCAAAAATGAAAATGCAAAAAGCCTTTGTTATATTTAGGGGGGAAATGCCATGTCAAACAAAATGAGAAATGTGGGGTCTTTTATATGTAGGTCTAACACATCAGCTATGAAAGTGTTTCCCTGCAAAGAGTCTTGTTGTGTCATCACAAAAGTCGGGAGTGCAGAGGGGGAAGGTGGGATATAAGGTCATCAACCTGGATAACAGTATGCACCTTGGATGTTAGCAAAAGCGAAGCTAATAGCTTATAAAAAACATGAAATATATAAAATAAAATGATTTCCATATACATCTTAATTTAAAATAATTAATGCATCAAATCCCTGTTTAAGACTTTAACCTGAATATCAAATTTAAGAGTCCAGACTAGTTACTGTTACTGTGGCTCCTCCCCACATGTAACACACACACTATCAAAAATAATTTAAAAACCTTCACATTCTTAAATCTAAATTAGTGAGATATTTCTCCAGAAATCTTCCAAATAAATAGCTTTAAAAAAAAAAGAATTTAAAAGCTGTTAACTTTTTAAAAAATCTGTTAAATAAATTATTGATAATTCTTTACCACTGAAAATAAATCAAGACACTACCAACAACAAAATGAAATTCAAGCCCTGACAAGAGACCCTTTTCAGTTCAAGGTCTCCGTTTAAGGTTCTACCCTCCTTCTTCCTCTCCCCACCAGGTCCAAAATGGTTATTGCTGAGTGGGTGTGGCACAGTGAGAATGCAGCATCAGGTTCATTTTGTTCTCCAGGCAGTGTTCTTCACTGGACATGCGTGGCGGAAGCTCCAGGCTCCCACACCCCCGAGACTGGTCTCCAAAGGGAAGAGTGATTCCAACAGAAGCTCCATCAAACAAAGAAACGTGCATGGCCATTTCTGTTCAACTTAAGGATCTTCCCAAGGCGTTGTTTGGCTGTTGCCATTCCTTTTTTTGGACGTTTACCTATAAAACACCAACAACAGTGTAAATAATGATGCAAATCATACAGGATCTGGAATTCTGAAAGGGAGGGTTCTGAGGCAAGCAAGTCTTCCAGGTGTTCTAAAAGGGCAAAGTCACACTCCTGGAATTCCATTGTTACACTCCTGGAATAATCCCTGCCATCTCCTCATGTGAGGGATAAAGGCCAACCTCCTTCACAGGACTTGTGTGGCCCTCACACAGTCTGATCCCCACCCATCTCTTCAGCATGAGCTCTTACCATATTCTGCAGCAAACTGTGTTCAACAACAAAATGGATTGAAGTGCTATTTTTTCACCTTTGTACCTTAGGTCACAGTAGCTCCTTACCTCCAATGCTATGTCACTTCCCCAACTTGGCAGGGCTAACTAACTCATTACCATCTTTTCCAGGATCTACCTCCTTCTCCCAAAAGCCACTCCTGGTCTTTAGAGGTAACTCAGTATCCTGCTGTTCCCACAGTAACCTGTACAAACTGCTATTGTTGTAGTATCCATATGCATCAGGCTGTGAGCAACTTGACTGCAGATACTACCTCTATCAGAACTGTCACTCTCGCCATCTCACACAGTCAGAAATACACATAACCTACAAATGTGCAGCAGTTACCTTTTGTTGCCTGGTTGCTGATAGGAGGTGGGTTTGATGCAGGTCTCTTGGTGGGATGAAGGGGCACTGAAAAGGAAGTTTCACCAACTGGCCTTTCTGGGCTTACACTGCCATGACTTATCTGGCATGCCCCTGAAACCAAGCTTGAATTCTGCATGTACTTTCCATTCTGAGGGCTTGAGCCACTGCTGTCCACAGAATTCCTACTTTGTAGCTTTTGACTGATTTCTGATGAACCTTCCTTTTTTATGTATTTATGGCCTCTACTTGGATCCTAAAGAATGAAAATAAGGCTGAATTATCAAGGTTCCTTTAAAAGAAGTGAAGTTTTTAATCTCTTTATACATTACCAAGCCAAGAGAGAGAAAAATTAGACTACTGAACTTTGGTTTTCTTACAAATAGTAGTCACAGAAGACTACCCTTCATAATAGCCCACTTATTCCAAAAGCTAAAAGCTCTGAAGGATTCAAGTCTTGAAGTTGCATCATAACTTAACTCAAGAAGCAAGCATTATATATGGATGGGGAGAGTGGGAAAGAGGAAAGGAGAGGAAGAGGGAGAGGGAGACAGAAAGAGACAAAGAGAGGCAGAGACTGAGAGGGAGAAAAGAGGGGAGGAAAAAGGGAAGGGAGGGAGAATGAATGTAATTTAAACAAGCCATCCTGAATTCAGTGAGCACGTGGTGTGAAAGGAAGCCAAGATGGGAGAAGTGGTACTACTGCTCATATGGCATAGTTCTCATATATCTTTCACTGTGTTATATATTATCTTTTTTAAAAGTTAACTTCCGTAGGTTCATCTCTACTGTATTTAACAAACAAACAAACCCAGATCCTGTAACAATTTTTCCTTCAGTCTCTTAAGATTGCTGCGTGAACTGTAATGAAAAAACAAATACTGCTACTGATTGATAGGTCTTGAAATTAATGGAGAGAGACATGACCAAAATTAAAAGAGAAAGGAAAAGACAAACTTGAAAAGATAGAGCATACTGCAGATGTTTCACAAAATTACCTTTAATTATGTGTGTGAGATATAAAACATATCTCTGATTCTCTTTAACCTTATTTTCTTATGTCTCCAATTCTGTAATCCTATCCTATCTAATAAAGAGAAAATATGCTAATTGATCAGCATGCCTCACAAAGATGGCAGCACCCACAGCCAATAGGGAGGAAATATGCTAATTGACTGTCATACCCTCAAAAAATAGTGGCGCCCACAGCCACAAGATGGTAGCACCCAGTCCCCTCGAACCCCGCTGGGGAAGCAGGTGTGTGGCATGGTTGGGCCTGCCCCCAGGCTCAGGTAACCAGGGCTGGCCGAGGCTTGCACTGCCAGCAGTGGCAGCAGCAGAGGTGTGATTGGGGTGTGGCCTCTCCCGGGGCACCTCCCGCCCGAGGGTTCCTGGACTGTGAGAGAGGGCAGGCTGGGTTGTGGGACACCCCCCACTCCAGTGTATGAATTTTCATGCACCAGGCCTTTAGTGATTAAATAAGTTTTAAAAACAGCATTAAATACAGATTTGCTTTAAATTATTTTGCAAATATGCTTGAGCATGAAGAGACAACTGCTATGATTTGACATGCCTCTGAATATCTTTCTCAGTTATAAACAAAAGAAATCTGATTGTCTCCAAAATGATCATGCTAATCATCTATCCTCTTCTTTATATTCAAAGACAACTATAAAAACAAGTTAGATTTAATAATAATAGCTTACTTTTCACACTGAATCCTATATTGAAGTTATAAACTTCATGACCAGCTATAGTGAGGCACTATAAAATCATACATTGAATAAGTGAATTATAATAGTGAAGGGATTTCTTACCTGACCTTTGAGTCTGGAGGATACTGTTCTAGTAAAAGAACTTATACAAACTGCCTTAAAAAATAACCTGGAGTTTTGGGGTTTTTTCCTTATTGTAAAAGCGACTGGTGAGTATTTAGAAAATATAGATAAGCCAAATGAAGAAAATAAAAAATATCCATAATTTATTACTCACAAGTATGCTTGGAGTTGACTGTCAACTCCTGAATCTAAATGTCACTGTTGGATTCTGTGGGCTCAATCCCCAGAAGGAGACAGGTAAGGAAGTAACTAATCAGTGTTTCCCTCTCTTATCCATGTTTCTTTCTCTCCCCCTTTCCCTTCCTCTGTAAAATCAATAAAAATATTTTTTTTCTTTACAAAAAGGAAATTTTAAAAAGCTATATGGGGTTCATTTTGTTTGGTATGAGTATTAATATGCTGGGATCCAAAGATATAAACTGGCCTCTCTTGAGCAAGAGTTCTTAATTTGAAGTCAAAGAGTGGTCTGGGGAATAAATCATAAGAATATGTAAGCAAAAGTCAGCCTTTATGATGATCATTTTCTGGAAAGAGAATCTATAACTCTCATCAAATTCTCAAAGAAATTAAACATCTAAAAATGTTCAAGCCCTGGCCGATTTGGCTCAGTGGATATCAAGCATGTCAAACTTATGGTCACGGGCATGTACCTTAGTCACAAGCTCCTCCCCGGCCTGGGCCCTGGTTGGGGAATGTGCAGGAGGCAACCAATCTATGTGTTTCTCTCACATTCAATCAATATTTCTCTCTGTCTTTCCCTCTCTCTTCTACTCTCCCTAAAAATCAATGGAAAAATATCCTCTGCAAGGATTAACATAAGTAAATAAATACAACTTAAAAAATAAGAAATTAAAAATGTACAAGAAACAATGACAGATTAGAGATCCTCTGGTACTCTTCTTTCATGTTTCATTCTAACTAGACACATAGAAAGGTACTGGCAGCTAATATTTTTTAACTACTTCTTTGAATAAACTATTCTTTTCTGGATCATGGTATGTCCATGAGTTTTGCATTAGGCATTATATCAGAATCTCTAAAAATGGATAGTTGTTCAAATGTGGATTTAATTGTAATTTTTTATCTTCCCAGATCTAATGGTTGTTAACTAATTGTAGTTAAAAAAGAAGAAGGAAAGCAAAAAACAGAGCTAATGACTATTCTAAATCTCCTTTTAATGTTCAAAGCTTGAGTAACAGGTGGAAGAGGATCCAAGATGGCTGCACAGGTAAACACCTAACCGCAGCCGCACACAACAATTTCAATAAAATACAACTAAAATATAAAATGGACATTACCGCCGGGACCAGTTTGGCTCAGTGGATAGAGCGTCGGCCTGCGGACTGAAAGGTCCCGGGTTCGATTCCGGGCAAGGGCATGTACCGTGGTTGCGGGCATATCCCCAGTAGGGGGTGTGCAAGAGGCAGCTGATCGATGACTCTCTCTCATCGATGTTTCTAACTCTCTACCCCTCTCTCTTTCTCTCTGCAAAAAATCAATAAAATATATATTTTTTAAAATAATAAATAAATAAAATGGACATTACCCAGAACTACAGAAAAGTCAACTGACTGGAAATTCTACAACGAGAAGCAAGGAGAAAACCAGAAGGAAGAGCGGAGGAGCTGTAAAAGCCTAAGGTACGGAGACACATGGCTTGCAGAGAGGACAGAGCCGGAAAGGGGGCGGCTGAGTGCCTGGCTGGCATTCCCTAGCAGGAAGGAGATAAAAGCTCCGGACTGTGCTGAACCCCAGTTCTAGGCCAGACCCTGGGGACCCAGGCTCAAACAGAGGGAGCCTGGGCTGTGAGGCGGAATCCCAAGGGAGCGGCAAAAGGCAGAGCCCCCAGAGGCGCGCACATTGCACGCAAAGAAGAGACGGTTGTTTGTGCCGCGGGATTGCCCTGGCGGGAAGAAGACAAAAGCTCCAGACTACTCTGAACGCCACCTCCAATCCCACTTCCAACTGAACTGAACCCCAGTTCCGGGCTCATTGGGGGAGAGACTAGACTGTTTGGTAGCAGGCGAGGGCACCTCACTCTCAGAGGTGCTTGCAGCTAGTACTGAAGGACCCTGAGAAACACTGAGACTCAGGAGCCGCATAGGGCGTAGCTGACGGAAGCCAAGGCTGTAGGCTCCACCCTGAAACTCCGCCCCATCTAGGCAGAACACAGAGACTTTTAAGGCTACCAACTCAGGGAAGCTGCGAAAATGCCGAGACAAGAAAATAGATCACAAAGGAAAGAAATGGAGGACAAAAAGTGACTGGATATAGAGTTCAAAACCACACTTATAAGGTTGTTCAAGAATCTCCTAGAAAAGGCCGATAAAATAAACGAGACCTATGAGGATATGAAAAGGGATCAACTAGAAATAATAAGGGATCAACAAGAAATAAAGAATACATTGTCTGAAATAAAAAATATTATACAGAGTCCTAAAAACAGAATGGGAGATTGCAAGAATCAAGTCAAAGATTTGGAACATAAAGAACCAGAAGACACTCCTCTGCAGAAGCAAGAAGACAAAAGAATCCAGAAAGTTGAAGATAACGAAAGAAACCTCTGGGACATCTTCAAGCGAACTAACATCAGAATTATGGGGGGTCCCAGAAGATGAGAGAGAGTAAGATATTGAAAACATACTGAAAGAAATAGTGACAGAAAACTTCCCCCACCTAGTGAAAGAATTAGACTTACAAGTCCAGGAAGCGCACAGAAGTCCAAACAAAAGGAATCCAAAGAGGACCACACCAAGACAAATCATAATTAAAATTCCAAGAGCAAAAGACAAAGAGAGAATATTAAAAGCAGCAAAAGAGAAACAGGTAGTTACCTATAAAGGAGCACCTATACGATTGTCAGCTGATTTCTCAAAAGAAACCATGCAGGCCAGACGGGAATGGCAAGAAATATTCAAGGTGATGAATAGTAAGAACCTACAGCCAAAAATAATCTACCCAGCAAAGCTATCACTCAGAATCGAAGGCCAGATAAAGAGCTTCACCAATAAAAAAAAAGCTAAAGGAGTTCATCACCACCAAACCAGAATTATATGAATTGCTGAAGGGGGTTCTTTTGGAAGAGAAAGTAAATAAAGATAAAAACTATGAACAACAAATATGTAACCATCAACAAGTGAATCTAAAAACAAAAAAAAATTATTTTTTAAATCTGATGAACAATATTAACTGGTGAATATAATAGAATCAGAGGTATGGAAGGGGAATGAACTGACGATTCTCGGGGAAAAGGGAAGTGGGGGATGTGGGAAGAGACTGAGCATAAACTGTGCATCTATGGATGAGGACAATGGGGGGGTGGGGAAAGAGCAGAGGGTGGGGTGGGAACCTGGTGGAGGAGAGCAATGGAGGGGGTGGAGGGAAAGAGGAACATCTGTAATAATATGAACAATAAAGATTTATTTAAAAAAAACCAAAAAACAAAAAAAACTTGAACATACCTGAAGATTAAATCTGGAAGTTGTATCAAATTGTTTATTCCAGGAGGAACGCCTCAAATCCTGATCTTCAGTTTTGACATGGTATCCTAGAGAGAAGTTTAATCAATTATCTTTACACAAACTTGATCTCAAAGAACAAAATTAGCTAAATGCTTAAAACTGAAAGCAAATTTGTTATCATTTTTATTAAAAACTGAGTATGTTAATTCTTTATTTATTCATGTATGTTTACCACATTTCTTTCCCTCTCAAAAACAAAACATTCCTTCAATCCTCTCAATGGCTGCCTTTATATGACAGTTTTATGCCAGATGCTGGAAGACTAGAGTAAAATTTTATGGCCATCTGCTGTAGATGTAAAACCAAGCACAATACACACTCTCTAAAAATGATATATTTTTTCCATACAGAATAAAGGCATATGTTTGTCTGCATTTTGCAGTATTTGCACAGAAGCTTTCTTTTCAAGGGACCAAACAGATTATAGAGAGACAGAATGGTATAATGAAAGTACAGACAAACCTAGATTTGAATTTTTGCTCTCCAATTACTGATGCATTTTTAGATAAATTGTTTAATCTCTCTAAACCTCAGTTTTCTCTTAGATAATGAGCAAAGGGATCAGACAGTCATGGGTTCAAATTCCAACATCAATGAATACATATGGGGAAGTTAAATTAACTTCACTAAATCTATTTCCTTTACCTGTAAAGTTATATTACCTACAACAAAATGTTGTATCAAGAATTAAGTGGAATAATGTCAAATTCCTGGTACATAGTTGACATTTAATTCCATGAGAACGAACACAAATGCTGTAATAGGCATAGTCCTCCTCACACTTTTAGGGAAACAAAATTTCCCTTAAAGGCACAGAAAAGAAAACACTCTAGGCATCACTGATGTTGCTATTGAGTTTCCTCTTTCCTAATACTTCCTTTAAAGCGAAAGAGAGAATGTCCTCAATTAGAAAGTTCAACATTTGTTTTCCCTCCCACAAAAGAAAATAAGGGTGATTGTTCAAGCTTAGCAGGCCATTTAAAGGCCCTGGATGGTATTGCTAAGTGGTTTGAGCATCAGCTCACACACTGAAGGGCTGTGGGTTCACTTTCTGGTCAAGGACACATATCTGGGTTGCAGGTTCAATCCTTGGCCCCAGTTAGGACACATTTGGGAGGCAACCAATCAATGTGTCTCTCTCACGTTGATGTTTCTCTTTCTCTCTCTCTCTCTCTATCTATCTATCTATCTCTCTGCCCCCCACCTCCCCTCCATTCTCTCTAAAAATTAATGGAGAAATATCCTTGGGTGAGGATATTTATTAATATATTAATAATAATTAATAATAAAATAAAGCACCAAATATTCCTTCCACTGTAACCAACTTATAAAAGGGAAATAACACTATTGCTCAACAGCAATGCTAAAATTATGCTGGTGAACATGACTCTCAATCCCAGTTAATTTACATTTTAAATTCTTATACTTGCGTCTTACATAACTTGTCAACATTACATATATTTTGGCCAATAAATATGCTTAATATCATTTCCAACTAAAAATGTGCAATAAACAGTTATTCATAATCTCTAATTTCAACTGGAATTATAGAGTTATTAAATTTGGGGTCATGAGTTACTTTTAAGTTTCTTACCACATTCCACTGGTTTATCATAGCGGTACAGCTGCCTATCCTCGTGGTTACTGCTGTGACAGCTGCTGGGATCCTGGAGAGAGTTTCTTTCACTGCTGCAGCCTGTGCTTTGTACCTGCCTTTGTAAACATGTGGAATAGTGCAACCCTGCCATAGAGAGCATGCCCTGAATCGCTTCTTCCTCTGTGCTCGTTGAGGTAGGACATTCCCTAAAAAACAGATAACCAAAAATACAAGAGCCTATTTAGTCTGATGGCATTTTGGTAAATTTTAAAACTAAAAGAAATGTTTTCATGGCCTTTATATCACACTGGAGGCCCGGTGCACGAATTTGTGCACCCATGGGGGATCCCTCGGGTTGGCCTGTGGGATTGGGCCAAAACCAACTGACATCCTGAGGGGTCCTGGATTAGAGAGGGCACAGGCCAGGCTAAGGGACTCCACCAATACTCAATCTGGCTAGGGAGAGACGAGGGAGGTTGGCCAAAAGGGAGGGACCATGAAAGGGCTCCAGGGTGTGTCTGGCCCATCTCACTCAGTCCCGATCAAGCTAACCTACTGGACAGAGTGTCTGCTTCCCGGTGGTCAGTGCACATCATAGCAACTGGTCAACTGTCTGCCCCCTGGTGGTCAGTGCACACAATAGCGAGGGGTTGAGTGGTCTTAGCATATTATGCTTTAATTGGTTGAGTGGATGACCAGACAAGCAGACAATTAGCATATTAGGCTTTTATTATATAGGAATGCCATGAAAAAACTAACATAAGCAAACCTACCTTTTAACTGCAATTTCACTTTTAGATGTTTTCTGGCTCTTTTGAAGAAAGTTCCTCATCACATTAGCTTCCTCCTTAAAGTTTGATGTTATTTTTTGTTTCTTTTCATCACCTGAACTTTCAGACTCTTCAGTGGTAAAATTATTTTTCTAAGATAATAAATAATTAAATGAAAGAAAAGCTATATAAGAAATCTGACCAAGACTGTACAAACAGACAAAAAATACTTTATCTGTCTAGGGAAAGTTAGAATCTTAATTATCATGAAATTATTTTTGTATTTCATATTAAAAAAATCTCCATAACTATAGTAACATAACTCCATAGTAAAAAACACACAGTACATGTTTTGTTTTTTTTAAGGTTAAATGAAATATAAAACCTAGGAGATATATGAGAAACAAAAGAACAGTATTTCACAAAAACAAAACAAAACAAAAATACAAACCCAAAATGGCGGCAAAGGTAAACAACTAATCTGCCGCCTCACACAATTTCAAACTACAATTTCAAAACTACAACTAAAAGACAAAACATCTATCACCCAGAACTACAGGAAAGCTGGCTGAGAGAGAAAGGAGCACAAGCGCTGAAAAGCTGAAAAGCCTAGGCACAGAGGCACTAGAATCAGGCTGGTGGCGAGCGACTGGACACGTGGCTTTTTTTCAGCCCGAAGGGAAACAAGTTCCCGATCACTTTGAAATCCAGTTTCTGGGGCCAAAAGGGGGACCCAGACACCTACAGGGAGAAGCTGGTCTATTGGCCATCAGGTCCAATGGTGACTTTTTTGCAGAGGTGCATGCAACAATCATTGTTTACTGCACTGGAGCGTGGGGACACGGGGATTTGGAAACAAGTAAAGGTGGAGATAGCTGACAGCAGCCATCGCTGTTTGCCATGCCACGTTCTGAGACCCCCCCTGCCCTGAGGCCCCACCCCGCACATTATACAAACCAGTCCAGGCTTCACACAGCTGCTTTTGCATATAAATGTCCTGTATTGTGGCAGCTTAACGAAATAAACTGCAGCTCCAGCTCCAAAACCACCAAATCCCAAGCAAAGAGGAAAAAACTATAGTTCCTGCGGTAACTCCTGCTGGGTGGCCTCACCCCATTGGAGATCCAAAAACTAGTGTATCTAGTGGTCAGTGTGAGACGACACCAGATTTCAACTACACACACACACACACACACACACACACACACACACACACACACAAGCTGTCGTCAACTATGGGGAGGGTGGATGTGGGGTGGGGGGGAAGTAACGCAGAGGGTGGGGTGGAGGGGACCTATGGGGGGGGGGAGAAACAATTGTAATAATCTGAACAATAAAGATTTATTAAAAAAAACAACAACAGTATTTCTCTACCATTTCCAAAATCAGATAAAGCTACATTTAGCAAATGTAAACAAATCACGTGTGTGTGTGTGAGTGTGTATGAGAGACAGAGATAGAGACATTCAAGAGGCAGACTCAGTGAGCACCAAAGCCCTATGGGAACAAGTCCTCCCCCATAAACATGTCTCCAGCAGAGCAATTCTTCCATTGTAGACACAGCGGGTCCGCACAGCCAATTAGCCTGGAGGTCAATTCTTCCCAGTGACACCAACAACAATCAAGACTTAACTACACCAAAACTGGTTTGGCTCAGCGGTAGAGCGTAGGCCTGTGGACTGAAATGTCCCGAGTTCGATTCTGGTCAAGAGCATGTACATTGGTTGCGGGCACATCCCCAGTGGGGGGTGTGCAAGAGGCGGCTGGTCAATGTTTCTCTCTCATCAACGTTTCTAGCTCTCTATCTCTCTCCTTCCTCTCTGTAAAAAATCAATAAAATATATATTTTTTAAATTTAAAAAAAAACCTGACTTAACTACAAGGGTGTACACACAGTTTACAAAGGGGTGCACCAAGAGTGCCCACATCAGGCAACTGGGAGACTGACCCATTGACCATATAAGACACCTTAGCACACAAAGCCACCCTACCAACTTAGGAAAGCAGCGAAAATGCCGAGACAAGGAAATAGATCTCAAAAGAAAGGGAGGAAAACAAAAGACTGGATATAGACGGTTATAAGGTTTTTCAAGAATTTCCTAGAAAAGGCTGATAAATTTAACAAGACCCTCAAGGATATGAAAAAGGACCAACTAGAAATTAAACATACACTGACTGAAATAAAAAATATTATACAGAGACCCAACAGCAGACTAGAGGAAAGCAAGAATCAAGTCAAAGATTTGGAATACAAAGAGGCAAAGGACACTCCTCCGGAGAAACAAGAAGAGACAAGAATCCAGAAAGTTGAAGATAGTGTAAGAAGCTTCCGGGACAACGTCAAGTATACCAACATCAGAATTATGGAGGTGCCAGAAGAAGAGAAAGAGCAAGACACTGAAAACCAATTTGAAGAAATAATGACAGAAAACTCCCTGACCTGGTGAAAGAAATAGACTTACAAGTCCAGGAAGCACACAGAACTCCAAACAAAAGGAATCCAAAGAGGGCCACACCAAAACACATCATAATTAAAATGCCAAGAGCAAAAGACAAAGAGAGAACCTTACAAGCAGCAAGAGAAAAACAGTTAGTTACCTACAAGGGAGCACCCATACGATTATCAGCTGATTTCTCAACAGAAACTATGAAGGCCAGACGGGAGTGGCAAGAAATATTCAAAGTGATGAATAGCAAGAAACTACAACCAAGATTACTCTACCCAGCAAAGTTATTATTCAGAATTGAAGGGCAGATAAAAAGCTTCTCAGATCAGAAAAAGCTAAAGGAGTACATCACTACCAAACCAGTATTATATGAAATGCTAAAAGGTGTTCTTTAAAAAAAGGAAAAGAAGAAAAAAGTAAAGATAAAAATTATGAACAAATAGATATCTATCAACAAGTGAATCTAAAAGTCAAGTGAATTAAAAATCTGAGGAACAGGATAAACTGGTGAATATAATAGAATCAGGGGCATAGAATGGGAGGGGATTGATAATTCTCAGGGGGAAAGGGGTGTCTGTGGGGGGGTACGGAAAAAGACTGGACAAAGATCATATACCTATGGATGACGACAGCGGGGTTGGGGGGGGAGAAGAAAGGGAGGGGGAGACTTAAGGGGGGGGGAGTAATGGCAGAGGGTGGGGTGGGGACCGGGTGGAGGGGACCTATTGGGGGGGGGACAATTGTAATAATCTGAACAATAAAGATTTAAAAAAAAAAAAGAACAGTATTTCTCTACCATTTCCAAAATCAGATAAAGCTACATTTAGCAAATGTAAACAAGTCACGTGTGTGTGTGTTTTGTGTGTGTGTGTGTGTGCATGTATGAGAGAGAGAGAGAGAGAGAGAGAGAGAGAGAGAGAGAGATTATCACAAGGAATGACCCTGTGCTATAAAGGTCAGAGAGACCGGGAAGGAAAGTAGGTGTTTTTTCCACCCAATAGCATCGTGTATGAGCCTTCGGGCATACCAGCACAGTGCAATCAGGTCCAGAGTCTTCCGAATCAGAAATATCAGAATATTCTGATGATCGATTCCTGAGTTCTGACTTCACACTTGTAAAAAACCCTGAGAAGTGGAAGAGACAAAGAGAAAGTCATGAACAGGGTGATATTGAAAGTCCGTCCAGCTTCGTGTCTATATCACTCCTGCTCTAGCCTCCTTTCACCTTTTCATTCATTTTTCCTTCAAGGACTTTCTCCCCAACTGACCAAGATGCAAATTGAAGTGTATTCTACAAACATTTCTAGAATTTGTTAAACTTAATTATACATTCCTTATTTGAAAATTTTAAAAACACTAATTTCCAGAAAAAAGCCTCTAACACTAACATGAGCTACAAGAAGCTTTTCAATTTCCCTTTTGCATTATTTCTCTCAACAGATAATAAAAGCATTTGGTAAAGATGGCTGGAGATGTTTATTAAATTTACCATTCAGTTTAGAGCTCAAGATGTCCTAAAATACAAAAACAGAACTTACTTAATCTCCACACTCAACTACACCCACTTGAATAAATGAACAAAGTCAAGCCACCACCTCCTCCCTTAGCTCTGCATCCCAAACTGGACTAGACTAGACAGCCACCCAGGCCCGGGGACAGGCAGCAGTGTGCCACTAAAACCAAACGGTTCCTAAAGCCAAAGCAGGAATGTGGTTTGTGAATTCAACAGGCTTATAGACGGGCCTCAGCACTGCCTTTCTCTTCTGTGGGGCAGTACTTCATAACTACTGAGTAACCACCATCATGTGGACAAATGCAGTTACCAATTACAACAATATAACATTGACCTGAAATTAGCATGAATTACGGTAATTTGGGATGAAATAATGTGAATGATCTGGAACACTTACTTGTCAAATATCAAAATATTTAACTGCTCCTTAATATTAAGGAGAAAGAGGTATTACTATTTGTCACACTAATGATAAGCAATTAATAACCAAGTAGAGGCCCTCTTGTCAACAGGCAGCCGAGAAAAACAATACCTGGATTACTAACAGCTTTAGGTCTACTACGTCTGAAAACCATATACATGTTAGCTAAAATTATATGTGAAATCCCATTCAGCTTGGGACTGTTTTATCATTTGGAGTAGAGCATGAGCTTTCGTGTGACGCTTGTAAAAACTGTCACCAGACAAGCATGTCACTAACTTGCGCATGTCCTCACCGTTAATAACGTCTTCCCTGGGCTCTACACAACTCGGACATTCAGTCAGTATTTCCCTAATGGATGCATTATTCAGAAATACCTCAGATTTCTCAAAAGAATATCAGAAACGCAATCATTTTCAAACCTAGTACAAATGTAAGAACTTGCAAGTTACTTCACATGTTATCACATTAGTAATAAAGAGACCTTTACAATGACCATTAAAACAAACATACTGTTAAGGGGTTTCTGAGATTCTTCATTCTCCACTGCCTCTATTCCTGAATTCTCTTCTATCTTCATTTTTGCCTTTTTTGTCCTTCCCTTATCCTCTTCACTTTCACTGTCTACTGTATAAAGACTCTGATCTGCGAAGGGGTGTCTTTCGTCTCTGTATAAAGAGGGAAAAATAAGTAAAAAAATAGTACAACTTGTACAGCCAAAGAGTTCACTCCCCCCTTTAATTTACAGAGAGTGGAGGATTAAGCCACTTGCCCCACAATTCAGTTAGCTATACAACAAAGGGACTAGGATTCAGTAAACAGAGGGAATCCTCTGAAAGCTAATCAGTTGGATACTTTGATCTGGTTTACATACTTAATTATCCTTCCATTTGTCAGCAGTAATCGTAGATCATTATCTTTTGCTCTCCATTCGGGTACGGTAGAAGATGGCTGGAGATGTTTATTGAATTTACCATTCAGTTTAGAGCTCAAGATGTCCTAAAATATAAAAACAGAACTTACTTAATCTCCACACTCAACTACACCCACTTGACTAAATGAATAAAGTCAAGCCACCACCTCCTCCCTTAGCTCTGCATCCCAAACTGGACTAGGCAGCCCCCAGCCCAGGGGACAGGCAGCAGTGTGCCACTAAAACCAAACGGTTCCTAAAGCCAAAGCAGGAATGTGGTTTGTCTTTCTGTAGGGCCATTAACAATAACACAATAAGGTAGGATGTAAAACTTGTGTAAAGCTCTTGCAGAAATCTGGAGAGCACTGCCTCAGTGTACTGTGCTTCTCCTTCCTTCCCTGGCTTAAGTACTAGCTGCTAGTCCTTTCCGATTACCCTACCTCTAACCTACTCGCTAGTCTTCCCATCAGGCACTGGCAGTAGCTTACAGGTCACCATATTGTTATCACTAGGAACAAAGGCCACCATGTGGCATGATGGCACACAATAACTGGTTTTTAATACATAAAAAGTATTTCCTTTATGTGGAAAATGTTTCTTTAATAATAAATAGAACCTTTCATAATGTGCTAAATCTTCTCACAGATGGCTATAGGTTAAGGAGGTTCGGAACAACAAAATCTTAAAACAGTATAAAAAAATTCTATACCATTTAAAATATTGAAGAAAGTTGAATATTAGTTTTAAAATATTTTAATTCAGAGATATCTCTATTTTGTTCATTTTAAATTGTTGCCTATCCTCTATCTAATATGTAAAATTATGGACGATACAGATCTCATTGCAAACTCATTACCAAGTTTCACAAGGCCCTACACTGACTGGATTACTGCCTGCCCCCTTGTCCATGAGGCCAGCATTTCTCAAACTTGAATGGATTTATTCTAACAGTCACTCCTGCTGATGCTATCGGGTAAGGGATAGGCTTTTTGCATTTGCTTTTCTCTCTGCCAGCAATATTTCTCAGATATGTGTATCCATCTAACTTCTTCCCATTATTTGTCAGTTCAGATGTCACCACCTGAGAGCTCTCTGACCACTCTAGCTCAAGTAGCCAGCCATCCTAAGCCCCTTTATCTATTGCTCTATTATTTTGGCTTCCTTCATAATGATTATCTGAAATTTTATTATTTTAACATATCTCTCTGTCTCCCATCCTTCCAACCTGAGCTAGGATGGAAGCTACACAATGGCAGGGACTTAAGTTGTGCTCACTCTGGCGTCTTCTCTAGAGCCGTAAGAGCATGGCCTTGGTAAACGCTCAATAAACATGTCCGTGAATGAATGAGATCTGGTCATCCTACTTCTGCACTGATGCCCAGAAAGTTGAAGGACCGCCCTGCCACGGGCATAAGCACTGCTGACTCCTACACAAAGCTAAGGGAAGATTAGATAACATGACTGGTCAGACTATTCTCCTTTTAGTATCCATTTAAAGAACTTTAAGGAACATGAAGTCTCTCTTTATCATCATGAAACATAATACTTGCCTCTTCCCAAGGACACATCTCTAATCTTCTGAGTACCTCCCTTGTGTGAAGCTCTAGGATGTCTAGGTTAGAAGGAGTTCGGACATTATGATCTCGAAGTTTCCTCATCCTTCGTCGGGAATGGTATGGGGAAATTGCTTCATTTGAGGATCGTGAGGCTGGACACACAGTAGGAATTCCCTGAGATTTAACTGGCTTGCTGTTTTCCTCCTTTAAGAATTCAATTCAGAGTATTTTTACAATAAGACTACATACATACCTAAGTAATCAGCCATAGAAATATTTTAGAAAAGAAAAACAATTCAATTTAATTATATAAACAAAAAGACCAAATAATAAGAGAAACAGCTTTGCTGAGGCCTTTATTTTCTTTTCTCTCTCATGTAATTATATACTATCAACATATTTTCTTGATTTTCAATATAATTTTAAAGGCTGTCTAGTACTGCAGAGCATGATTTACTGACATAAAAGTTACTAGGAGTTAGTCAGGCTACTTCTACTGTACATTCTTTAAAAATATATTTTTTAAATATATTTTTATTGATTTCAGAGAGGAAGGGAGAGGGAGAGGAAGAAACATCAATGATGAGAGAGAATTATTGATCGACTACCTCCTGGACACCTTCTACTGGGGATAAGCCCACAACCTGGGCACATGCCCTTGACTGGAATCGAACCCAGGATCCTTCAGTCCGCAGGCCGTGACAATCTATCCACTAAACCAAATCAGCCAGGGCTCCATGTACATTTTTTTCACATACATAGCTGCATAAATCAATAATTGCTTTCTAAAGCAAAGTCACACATTTACGTAGTTTTGAAAAATTAAAATTCTATAAGCATATCATGGAAAGTTGCAATCTACGCTTCCCCATGCCAATTCCCATTCTCTGGAAGAAACCACTTACAACTTTTTAAAAACTGTAGTGTCATATACATATAACAAATGTTGTAACCGATACATAATTTACCATTTAACCATTTTTATGTACAGAGTTCAGTGACATTAAGTACATTTCGCATTGTTGTCCAACTGTCACCAGCATCTATTTCCAGAACTTTTAAATTTCCCCAAACTTAAAACTCTGTACCTATTAAACAATAATGCCCATTCCACCTTACTGTCAGCCCTAACAACCATCATTTTACCTTCTGCTTATATTAATTTAACTGCTTTAGAAACCTCATATAAATGCAATCATACAATATTTGTCCCTTAGTGACTGTCTTATTTCACTTAACATAATGTCTTCAAGGTTCATCCATGTTGTGGCATGTGTCAGAATTCTTTTTTTTATAAGGTTAATATTCCATTGCATGAATATACCATATTTTGGTTATCCATTCTCCCAGGACAGAATCTTTGATTGCTGTGAATAAAGCTGTTATGAACATGCTATACATATATCAGCTTGAGTCCCTGCTTTCAATTTTTTCAGATATATAGCCAGCTCTTACAACTCTTGCAGCTGTTTTTGTTGTTCAGTTTTTTCTTTCAGCTATTTGCCTCCAAATTTCTAAATAACATGTTTATACTGTTATTTCTTGTTTTTTTTACCTGTTGCTATATCACTGAATTCCTACTATGCAAGATGAAGTAAGTCTTAATCCTGACATCCTCTCTCAAATATACACATACTTCCCCTGCCTTCAATATTCAATATTTAAATTGGACTCAGTAAAAATTATTTACAGCCCAGTGCTACATAACATTATTTTTCTTTTTATCCTTTGATTTTTCTCTGAGTTCATAACTGCCTCACTTTCCATCAGCTTGTTTTATATGTACTTAACACTAATTAATCCCAAAATTCTCCACTGGAAGAATGCAAACATTCAAAACACAGTAGGTAATCAAATTTATATTTTGCTTTGGAGACATCTTCTGGATGCGATTGTCAGATAAAGTATGAGGCATCCAGTTAAGTTTGGATTCCACTCTTCAGATCCATCCTGGACCGGCTGCTCTCTAGCCTCTACATGTCAACACAGACCCTTCCTGACCAGCTTCCACTCCACCATATAACACTGCTGCCGCCACCACCACCTCTGGCCATCATTCCTTATCTTTTATCCCTCCTTTATTTTTCTTAATAGCACTTTGCCAATTCCTGATATAATAAAATCTATGGCTACCCTCTTACTACTGAGCCCCATTGGCAGGACCTTTGTTCACTGCTCTATGCCAGGCCTACCATGTACAAAGCTGTGATAGGTACTCAGTATTTGTTAGAAGAATGAATTCTTGGAACATTCCTTTTTGATTTACTCCTTTTTTCTTAGAACAGCACATTCTCTTAGTTTCCTGAGAAAGGGGCACATGGGTGGTACATTGTTTGTTAATTGCCTCTTTGACATCTTTATTTTACCATCATACTTGGTTTATGTCTTGGTTGAATAGACATGTATGCTGGCATCCCCCAACCCCAGGATGTTAAGGACTTTGCTCCACTGTCTTTTAGTTTGCAGTGTTATTGTTGAGAAATTTTATGTTATTCTGATTCCCAATTCTTTGTATATGACTCATAATATTTTCACTAATGCTTTTTCAGATGTACATTATTACATACTAGAGGCCCAGTGCATGAAATTCGTGCACGGGGTGGGGTTGTGTGTCCCACAGCCCAGCCTGCACCCTCTCCAATCTGGACCCTTCAAGGGATGTCCGACTGCTCTCTCAAAATCCAGGACTGCTGGATCCCAACCGCTCACCTGCCTACCTGCCTGATTGCCCCTAACTGCTTCTGCCTGCCAGCTTGATCAACCCCTAACCATTTCCATGCCAGCCTGATCAACACCTAACTGCTCCTCTGCTGGCCCGATTGCCCCTAACTGCCCTCTCCTGCTGGCCTGGTCACTCCTAACTGTCCTCCCCTGCTGGCCTGGTTGCCTCAACTGCTCTCCCCTGTAGGTCTGGTCCCCCCAACTGCCCTTCCTTGCAGGCCTGGTCCCCCAACTGCCCTCCCTTGAAGTTCTGGTTCCCCCAACTGCCCTCCTTTGCTGGCAATCAGATGGTGGCCATCTTGTGTTCACATGGGGGTGGCCATCTTGTGTGTTGGAATTATGATCAATTTGCATATTACCTCTTTATTATATAGGATACTCTAAATTTTACCATGATGTGTCTTGGCTGATGTCTTTTTCACTCACTGTACTGCCATTTTTTGAAGACTATCAATTTGGGAAGATGTGTCCTTGAATTCTAAAACTTATTTGATTAGTCCTCTGAAAATCTTCTGGTTTTCTGTTATCTTTTTCTGGAGAGCTCCTATTATTTTGATGAAGACTGTATAAAATGACCTTTTAATTTTTCTGTCCTACTTCTGTGTGTCTCTTTTTAACTTTATGGGAGATTTCCCCAATTTGATCTTCCAGCCATTCCACTAAGTTTTGTTTCTATTAACTTCTAACTTCCAAGAATCCTTTTCTTTCTTCTTTGAATGCTCCTTTGTTGCACCCTCCTATCCTTTTTTCATAGAACCAATTTCACTATTTTCTCTCCTGAGGATATTTGGATTTTAGCTATAGACTTATTTAATGATTGTTTCCTTTTAATATTTTTCTTTTTTGCTTTATTTTTGGTCTTTGTCTTTGAAACTCTTCTGGGCTCTCTATGCATTTTAAAAAAAGAAACATTAAAGAGCTAATGGTTTCAAATAATGGTGCTCAGAAAACTAGATAAACATTTAGGGGGAAATGTCTTTATTTATCATATGCAATACACAAAAAATTCAAAACTGGCCATTTTACCTAGATACAAAAGCTTTTTGGGGGTAAAATAGAAAGTATTTTTAAGACCTTGGGGTGGAAAAATATTTCTTAGAGAAGTCATAAAATAACACTAACTAAAAAACAAAAAGAGTTGATACACTAAACTTTCAAAATTATAAGTTTCTGCTCATGAAAAGATACAGGCTGTAGGTAAATGTTAGTTATTTTATATAGATATGAATGACTGCAGGCCAAATGACAATGAATTTGTGTCCAGAACATATAATGAACTCTTACAAATCAATAATTTTTAAATGGACAAAACTGCAAACTTCCTAAAAGAATATATACAAAAATGATGTGCACACAAAAAGGTACTCATCTTTAATCTTCAGGAAAATGCAAATTAACACCACACTGAAATAATATTCCAAATTCTCTAGGATAGCAAAAAATTTAAAGGCTAAAAACAACAAATATTGGTGAAAATACAAAACAACTACAATGCCTGCACATTACTGGTAAGAATGTAAAATGGTATAACCACTCTGGAAAACTGGCAGATTCTCACATATTTTAAATTCACTTCTTATGGCTCAACTCTATCCCCAGGTATTTATCCAAGAAAAATAAAACACAAAAGAGATATAAGAATGTTCATAACAGTCTCATTCATAACGGCCAAGTCTGCATATAACCCAAATAGGATATCAAATCCTTTTAATCTTTCTTTGCTGTTCCCTGCTTTCCATTCCCCACATACAGACCTGATCTGAGCTGTTAATTGAGTTAGCCTCCATTCTTCCACTTAATTTCCTTTCAGTTCAAGGTAAACATTAAGAGAACCACCTTTTTAAATTAGTTTAATTAAAACCTCCTTTAATACCTAAAAGAGCTCCGAAATGATTAATTAAAACATCTAATCTCAGATTCTGTGGCTTTTATCAAAGGGCATTTGCTTAACCGACTTGTTCTAATATTTCCAATTGAGCAGCTCTCCTTGTCCCACCCCACTAATATCTTCCTCTTTCCAACCCAGCTTCACCTAGCTCTATTCACCTTACATTTCCTCTCTTTTTCTAATCACTAAACATGTATTCATCTCTGCACAGATAAAATGAACTGGATCTGAAATTTTTTTAATTTTGTATTTTTTATTTTTGGGATAATCTGAAATAACTTCCTTATTACTTCATCATGACACAATCCTCTACAATTCTCTCTAGAAATTTAGGAACCTGGGAACTGGAAACTGTTTCTAAGACAGCTCATTTTATTTATTTTTTTTTTTTTAATTCCTTGAACCTGGGAAGTAAGAGCTTTCAGATGTTTGTAGTGTGGTGGCAGATCTATTTGTTTCTCTAAGCAGATAACAACCAAGAGTTTAGATGAGTTTAGATGACTGTACACTTACCTCTATTGCTCGAATTACTTTAGAAAGTTCTTTAATAAGATGTCCAGGTCTAACATTGTCTGGGATTTCAAAGGCATGTTCGGATACAAGCTGTATTTGGATTAACAAAGACAAAACAACCAAAGTTAGTTATACTTTAATATGTAAAAAACTTATTAAGCCAATTTTTGGATTCTCCAGATTTTATAGACACAGCTAAATAGAATAATCCAGGACTCAGAGTGCATGTGGTTGGTGTGATATCTTCTAAGGTATCTTTATTAAAAGATCTTCTAATGAGATCTATATTAATTTATAAAATCCTCTTAGATTGAGATAAAGATGGAGTGGTCTCATTGTGAATTTTGCTTTAGATTGAGTAGTAACCTTGTACTCTAGACCTCAAAAGACTACTATAATTAGTAAAGTAACTAATTAAAACTAATAATTAATAATAAAGAAAAATTTATAAGGGGTAACACAGGCACTGAAGTAATCCTAGTCCACTGGCACAAGAAACGTGCAATGGAAGCATAAAGGAAGGACATACCAACTCCAAAAGGAGATCTGGGACGACCTCTTAGAAAAGGAGAAACTCAAATGCAACAACTAGACCACATTTTAGTGAAAATGGAAAGCTCCTGCTTGAACTCCACCTTCCTTTCTTTCATTTTTCCCCCTAAGTCTAGAAGAGGGATAAGAGCATGACTTTGCAAATCGCAGAGACCTAGATTTAAATCCTACCTCCACGGAGTCTCTTGTGCAAGTTACCTAAATTCCTTGAACCTCAGCTTCCCCACATGTAAATGGGGATTTTAACAGCACCCAGACTTAATATAGTTGCTTTGAAGATTAAATTAGTTTATGGATATGAGGACTAAACACAGTGGTTGGCACACAATGAGAGCTCAGTTACTTATTTTTAGTCTACATTCATTTCTTAGTACCCTAGGTATACTTGAATTACTTTCTTTTCCAGCTTAAAGAAATTCTGTGTCCTTAATTCTCACAGAAACATAAACCGTTTGTATTGCTGTACATAAAATGGTTGTATTGCTGAACATAAAATGAAGGTTGTATTTAAACCATGGTTTCTAGTCCTTCTACTGTGGCTACTCTTGCCACACAGCTTGAGGACTCAGTTTTCCTAAACTTACCATATGAAAAATAACAATTATTTCACCAAAAAAAACTACTTACTTCTTTTTTCATCCACAATTTTAAAGCAGTATGTAGTGCTTTCACGCCCTGTACTAGGTAAGTCTGAGGCTGGAAACCATCTTCTCTCAGTTCTGTGGGGATGGAAGAAGCAGGGAAAGGAGTTAAGCATTGCAAAGATAAAATAATCAACTTTACATTTTGAGTAACCAATAAATATAAAACTGCATAACTTCCAAATTAACAGAAAGGAAAAAGGTTAATAAACAACTGATTGGGGGAAATAAGAAAAAACACAGGATTACATTAAATGTCATTGTACTAAATGCTCAAGTTAAAAGAAAGCTCACAGACATAATGCTGAGTAAAAAACAGGTCACAAAAAACGTCAGTATGAAGCTAGTCATATGATGTCTAGAAATTAAACCATTTTAGTTTATGACATAGGTGATAAAGCAGAATAAAAGGATTATCACAAAGGTCAGAATAATAGGTTCTCTCCTGAAGGGAAGAAGAGGGTACAATGGGAAAAATAAGGTGCATGACTAGGGTACTGGCAAGGCTGTTTCTGATCACCCTGAGTGAGGCTTATAATTCTTTAAGCTGTACGAGAGTGTATGTGTAGGCAATGTGTGATCCATACACTTCACTATGGGCATGAAATAATTCACTATTGTAAATACACACCTGCTCCCACAAACCCAGTCTCTTCTGGGTTTTTTAACCAAATTGATTATTTAAAATACATTAGATATGGTCTACAACTCAGGTAAGTTGAAGCAAAAGTGAAAGATTTCTACTTCTGTCCTGTGGCTAATTTACTTACATATACCCCAAATTGGTCACTGTTATATTATTACTGACACTAAATTTAGTTTAGCGTTTCATACAACCCTCCCCCATTTAACCTATCATATAACCCTATAACAGTTTAAGAGATGGCAAATAATAGGCCACAAGGAAAAGTTAAAAGGTCAGGGATAAAAGGACAATATAAGGTGGGGTAACAAGACCACCAATACTGATTCTAGGATGAATGTGTAGGATGTGGCACTGGTATAATGTTCCTTTGGCTCTATCCTCAGTGGGATACACTAGTCATGCCAGGTATCCAGTTCTGATCTGGCAGATGAAATAAAAACACTCTAAAATCTGACCTGCAGCCGAAACCGGTTTGGCTTAGTGGACAGAGCGTTGGCCTGCGGACTGAAAGGTCCCAGGTTCGATTCCGGTCAAGGGCATGTACCTTGGTTGCGGGCACATCCCCAGTGGGGGGTGTGCAAGAGGCAGCTGCTCAATATTTCTCTCTCATCGATGTTTCTAACTCTCGATCCCTCTCTTCCTCTCTGTGAAAAATCAACAAAATATATTTTGTTAAAAAAAATCTCACCGAAACCGGTTTGGCTCAATGGATAGAGCGTCGGTTTGGGGACTGAAGGGTCCCGGGTTCGATTCCAGTCAAGGGCATGTACCTTGGTTGCAGGCACATCTCCAGTAGGGGGTGTGCAAGAGGCAGCTGATCGATGACTCTCTCGTCGATGTTTCTAATTTGCTATCTCTCTCCCTTCCTCTCTGTACAAAATCAATAAAATATATTTTTTTAAAAATCTCACCTGCAAATACCCTTTTATACTAATTTTGTTTTTACTTTAATGTATAGGATTATGTTTTCTAATCAGATCTCAATAGCTCCGAACTCTCAATGGACTAAAATAAAGGCTAATCCATTCTCAGACTGAACAACCTGCCTCTTTTGACTGCAAGAACAGCAAGATTTTATCTTTCAGATAAATTCTTAATTTGATTTCTCTAATCTGGAGTGTTCAGTTACTGAGTTTTATTTCCAGAAAACAAGAACATCCATAAGTGTATATATATCTAGGGTTCTACTTGCATATGAGACTATGAATTTCAATGTCTAGAATTTTACTAGGAACAGTCCATTGTGACATTCCTGCAGCCACCAAAAACACCTGAAAACACTGGATGAGTCAGGTTCAGGATAAAGAGTTGTTTCTGGAGCAGACACTGATCTGGTGCAGAGAGCACCTGTTCTTCCTCATCCATGGGCTCCTATCTCCATCACAGACATTTGCACCATCAACATCTCCCTGTATGCTGTGCTGCAGGTGTGGGATGGGGTTATTCTTTCATCCTAAAGATAGTGAGATCTTTCATTGAGCAAAAAAACCATAAATAAGTTTTATCATTTGCCAGGCCAGTGTGAATGTCGACGATGAACCACGAGGTTCAATTCCCAGTCAGGGCACCTGTCCAGGTTGCAGGCTTGATCCCCAGTGTGGGGCGTATAGAAGGCAGCCAATCAATGATTCTCTCTCATCATTGATGTTTCTATTTCCCTCTCCCTTCCTCTCTGCAATCAATATATTTTATTTTATTTTATTTTATTTTATTTTATTATTTTATCATTTAATTCTGTGCATGCTATCCTGGGAAGTAAGTTCTGGTTATTTCTTTTCATTTCACCTTTTCTTCTTATGTAACTTTTAAATGGAAAAAGAAATACATGTAGGATAGACTTTACTGTTTAATCTGCTTATATCTGTTTCTTCTGGAAGTTAATTATAATAATAGCACTATTTGAAAATGGACTGGACAAGTTAGATGACATAAAAACAGATGAACTGTAATTCTCAAGGGCACAATTGAATTAAACGCAAAAAAAAAAAAAAAGGATAAAGAGAAATGTGATATGCAATTTCCAATTTGACTGCTCAAAGATTTTAAACCAAAAGATAAAATACCCAATCTGAAATTCCACATAAAAAAGGTAGCTTTCAAGTTTAAATAAAGGGATAAGTAACAACCTCTCTTTCCCCCCAACAAAACCCCAAATATTTTTCTTCAACTAGATTCAGCCTGATATCCAGTTGGTTTGTACTAACAGGTACTGGCCAGCATAGTGGGCATAAAATGATAATGGCACAGGCACTACCTCATTCTCTCAAGACATGAAAATTATACCCTGGAATTTTAAAAGCAAATATTTGGGAATATGAATATGAATATATATATATATATATATATATATATATATATATATATATATATATATATGCCTAAGTGACTGTTTGACCAGTAGCTATGATGCACATTGACCACCAGGGGGCAGATGCTCAATACACAGGCATGGAAACATGGAACAGACTGATGAATTTCAAAAGGAAGTGGGGAGGGAGAGGGCGGGAAGAGATTAACCAAATATATGCATACTAGAGGCCCAGTGTACGGATTTGTGCACAATGGGGTTCTTCAGCCTGGTCTATGGGGATTGGGCCAAAAACAGTAGTCTGACATCCCCCAAGAGGTCCTGGATTACGAGAGGGCACAGACCAGGCCAAGAGACCCCCATCAATGCATGAATCCATGCAGTGGGCCTCTATTATTACATAATAGTCTTGGCTTAAACTGCATTCTTGCAGGCAAGGCACTTTTACATGCCTGACAGTGTGTACAGGCCAGTAGAATCCCAGGTGAAATGAATATTTTCAACATTACCTGTTCTGATGCAGCTCTTCATATATCTGCTTTTTAAGATTGCAGCGGTCACCAACTGGTGGCCCACGGACCACTAGTGGTCCATGAGGTCCAAAAGGTTGGTGACCATTGGACAAGAGACTCTAATTTGTTAAAAAAGTTCTTGACCAGGGGAAATCATGCATTTAAAAAAATAACATAGGAACAGCAATACCATACTAAAAAAGGGTCGCTCTCGCTGGCTTTTAGTCAATTTACGAAGAGCATGTATCACATCACACTGCAAGATGGACAGATTATTAATTACCTTTCAGGGTTTCCAGCAAGTTTTTGGCTACAAACCAACATATGGCTTCAAAGAAAGGGAATTTGAAAAGATCTGGTGTTTTTAGCCTTTTTTCCATCTCATAACACCTGAATAAACATAATTTAAGAAATTTAGTATTTATGTTAGCATTTCAAAGTTAAATGAAGGCAACCAACTTAAGGAAAATAAAATAAGCAGGCTCTGACATGTAAGAACAATCAAGTACTGTATATTACATAATACAACATTTGAGTAAGCCTGAATTATGACCTTATCCAGGTCAGGCCTTAACAAATTTGACAGTATACTGAAGAATTACATTGGTTTTCTAAAAGATCAGACCTCGGGGTTCTTATCCTAGTCTTAACAGAAGGAATTTCTTAAGGATTCTACTATAATAAATAAGACACTATGTTTACAAATCAACTTCATGTATTGAACAACCCACTCGGGTTTTCTTTAGTTTCTACCAAGCATTCAAGCTCAAGACCACAGTTGGTGCTGGGCAAGGGGAGGAGACAGGAACCACAGCTTGCCACAGTGTTCATCTTCTGTGGGCGACTTTGCAGCCATCAATACATCCAGGAGCCACTTTTCCTCTGGGGACAGCTCAGGTATACAGAAACAAGATTCACAGCTGGCAGTGTGGGAGCTGTCCTAACTTAAAGCTTCATGCCTGGTAAGGGCCAGTACTTCGTGTAGTAACTCCACAGACACATAACATCCAGGGTCCCCATGAAGGGCAAGCCAAGCTACAAGATCACCCACTCAGGAAAGCCCAAACACATGGCTTCCTACTAGGTACTCTACTTCTCCAAGTCCTGATGCAGTTTATCAAACAGGAGTCATTTCACTGTAAGCAGTGCTGCCTAGTAACGTTCTCCCCCCACAGGCTACCAGGGCCACAGAGTGAGGTAAAGGTCACCTTCTTACACAGAAGGGGAAAGAGCTGTTAATTCTTGAGCTGTTAATTCTTTCCCCATGTAAAATTACAGGTGTTCTCACAGCCATCTGAACTTAGGGTTGCTTTTTCCCAGCACCATAGTTACACCTGAGATCAACTAGATTTAGTTCATTTTCCTCATTTTAAAAACAGCCAAAGGAGAGCCCATATATTTTTATGCAATTTTGAAAGTTGGGGAGATATTTAGTCTCAAATTGAATAAATAATTTTTTAATTTTAGACTTAAAATGCATCAAGCTATCCTCCTGACAAAATTTTTACGACAATACTTTTAAAAGTTCCTATTCTTGCTCTACTGATTTGGCTCAGCAGATATCGAGTGTCAGACTGCTGACTGAAGGGGTCCCGGGTTTGATTCCGATCAAAGGCACATGCCCAAATTGCGGGCTTGATCCCCAGGAGTGGGTGTGCAGGAGTCAGCCGATCAATGATTCTCTCTCATCACTGAATTTTCTCTCTCTCTCTCTCCCTCTCCATTCCTCTCTGAATTCAATAAAACTATTTTTTAATAGTTCCTGTTCTTAATAAATTCTCAGGGCCTATCTCCATGATATCTCAATTAAAATATGTTGTTGAATTTAGATTTTGAAACAACACCCTGTTTAAAAGAAAGGACAAAAGATCCTTTAAATACTGATGACACAAACCTGAGCTGCATGCCAATATTAAGGTTGTGCAGAAAGTTCCCCCCAAAAGCCATACAGTCCTGAGAAGTGAGCACAGCATGAATCCACCCTGAAATGGTTAAAAGTATATTAATCATTGATTCTCAATATTTAAAGCAAACAAATGTGATATCTACCTGTAAGATAAGAAACACAAAATATCAACATCAATTTACTTTATACTCCAGTGCTAGAAAAGTTAATGTATATAAAAGCTATAGATTCATTTATTCGAATATTTAGTGAAGGCTTATTATATACCAGCTCTGTGCTGAGTTTGAGTAAACAAATGCATTGACCCAATTAGGTAAAAAATCATAGTACAAGACAGGTGAAGGCTTTTGTGGTTGTTGCTGTTTTAGTTTAAAGGAAAAACAATCCAACTTAATATTAAAGATTTTACTCTGAGACAAGTCAAATCTGGTTAGAATGACACAAGCACATTTCTATTAAGTGACCACTGAGACTGGCTAAGCACTTCTCTTCCCTAGTATTTGAAAGAGTACTGGGGGACTAAGCAGAGGAAGATCAGTGAACCCAACCTGCCTCCACATTTCTTTATGAAGGGCTTTGGTTCCATAAATATAAATGTTGGCAATCCAAATAATGTCTTATTTTCCCACAAAAGTCTTTTCAAAGAGATAAACATTTTTGAGAGATGATGCCTAGTTTTTAAAGAAATGTTCATAGCCTAAACATGGACATCATGTATGTATAAATATATACATTTGCATGTAAAAGTTAACTGTTAAAACAGGTCTCATTTTTCATCTTTTAATTGCTCACTGTGCCATGATACATCAAAAAAACTTCTCAGAGATTGACTTTGAAATGGTGCTCTTTTGTGTGCTCAAAGGCACAAAGCCTTGAACTTGACCCTGAAATAACAAATTAGAAATCTGTCAGCTACAAATCCTATAGATCAGTGGTTTTCATAAAGGCAATAATGCCTGTAGAGGGCATTTGGAAAAGTTTGGGGGTTTCTTTTGATTGTCACATGATCAAGTGGCACTCCAACTTATGAGTGGGAGCCAGGGGTGCAAAATGCAGGTCAGTTCTACACGGTAAGAAATTTCCCTGCACTACTCAGGACTTAGGAATTTCTGCTGGGCATTCATTTAGTACAAAATCTGCCATGAATAGTCTGAGCCTAGAAATTATAACTCCATTATATACACTGAGTGGCCAGATTATTATGACCACCTGACGTTTATAGGCAAACTAGCCATACACTGCATCACTTGGGATATGGAAGACGAAGGCCTGTTCGAACACCTTTGCTGTCTGCAGTTACCAAGATAAAACATCTCCAATTCACACAGGAACACAAGGATTGGACAGTCGAGCATTGGAAAAAAGTCATGTGTTCTGATGAATCACGTTTCCAGTTGCATCATGCAGATGACAGAGGGAGAATTTCATGAAAACAGCATGAAAGCATGCACCCGACATGCATGGGTACAACCCTTCAAGCTGGTGGGGGCAGTGTCATGACATGATTTGGGCCCTTTAATTCATGTGGAACAATGTCTGAACAGCACAACATACCTAAGAATTATTGCTGATTAAGTTCATCCTATCATGTTGATGGCTTCTTCCAACAAGACAATGCGCCATGCCATGGTGCTTGTGTTGTGCAGGAGTGGTTTTAAGAACATGAGGGAGACTTTACCTTGCCTAGTGATCCCACAATCACCACATCTCAATCCAATTGACCATTTGTGGAATGAAGTTAAAAGAGCCATCAGGCAGCTGGTTCCACAACCATCAAATCTCACAGATCTGGACAGTGCTATTCATCAGGCATGGTGTCAGATTCCTCGCATCACCTTTCAACATCTCATGAAGTCAATGCCAAGAAGAATCGCCACAGTATTGAAGGCAAAAGGTGGCCCAATGAAGTACTAATGGTGGGGTCATAATAATCTGGCCACTCAGTGTATATATCTATCTATATATCTGTGTGTGTGTGTGTGTGTATGTATATGTGTGTGTGTGTGTGTATATATATATATATATATATATATATATATATATATATAATACATATATGTCTAAGTGACTGTCACAATCAAAACAACAGAATGAACGACAGAAGAGACTGCATGGGGGCAACAAGGGGGGTTAGTGAGGGACGACCACATGACTGAGCATCAGGCTGTGTGTGGCGACCAGGTTGGCGTTGGGGATCAGGCAGTCAGATATCCCCTGAGGGGTCCCAGATTGGAGTGTGTGCAAGCTGGACTGAGGGCACCTTCCCTCTCCTGTGCATGAATTTTGTGCACTAGGCCTCTAGTATATACACTGAGTGCCCATATTATTATGATCTCTGAACGCATAATAATCTGGCCACTCAGTGTATATAATACCCTAACATGCAAATAGACCAAACAGCAGAACAACTGAACCAGTCGCTATGATGTGCGCTGACCACAAGGGCGCACACATGGACCATGGCAGGCATCAGCCACGAAGGGATGGTGGAACAGGTGAGTGGGGGTGCCCGACCAAGGCAGGGCACCGGTCTCTGTCATCGAGGTGAGCCTCTGGTCATTACTGAAAATTCTTTGGTCCCGTGCACTGCTGTCCCACCTGGCACTTGCACCTGCTGCCAGTGCCCTGAGCCAGCCCTGACCACTTGGTGCCATCAGCAGGTACAAGCAGTGGCTGCTGTCCCTGATTGCCCCTCAGGGCTTCTTCACTTCAAAATGACATGCGTGATAATGATACTTGAACTGCAGCTAAGGCTGGTACTCAATTCCTTTCTCAAGTCCCTCAAAACATACTCCTAACTGTCCCAGGAAAAAGCCCAGACTCACTACTGGCTTGGCCTTTCATAGCAATGCAAAGCTGACCAGTTAAAGAGAATCTCAACACATTTTTAAAATTTTATGCAAAGGACATTATTAAGAAAGTAAAATGACAACCCACAGAATAGAAGAAAATGTTTGCAAATTATGTCTGATAAGGGTATAGTATACAGAATACAGTATGTAAAGAATGCTTACAACTCAACAATAAAAAGACAACCCAACTTAAAAATGGGCAAAGGATTTCAATAAACATTTTTCCAAATAAATATTCAAGTGGCCAATAAGCACAAGAAAAATGCTCAGCATCAATACTCATAAAGGAAATGTAAATAAAAACCACAGTGAGATACCACTACTTCATATCCACTAAAATGTCAAAAACAAAAAAGATAATTACAGTGTTGGTGAGGAAGTGGAGAAATGGAAAACACTGTACATTGCTGGTGGGAGTGAAAATAGTGCAGCCATTTGAAAAACAGTTTGGCAGTTCCTCAAAAAGTTAAATGTCATTCAATCATATGGCCAAGTAATTCCATACTAGATATATAACCAAGGAAAATTAAATACCTCACACAAAACTTTTATACACATGTTCAAAAGCAGCACAATGCATAATAGCCAAAAGGTGGAAACAACCCAAGTGTCTATCAACTAATGAATGGATAAATGAAATGTGGTGTATCTATACAACGGAATATTAATCAGCCATAAAAAGTAGTGAAGTACTGCCTAGCCGGCATAGCTCAGTGACTGAACATCGATCTATGAGCCAGGAAGTCACAGTTCAATTCCCGGTCAGGGCGCATGCCCAGGTTGTGGGCTCAATCACCAATGGGGAGTATGCAGGAGGCAGCCAATCAACGATTCTCTCTCATCACTGATGCTTCTATCTTCCTGCCCTCTCCTTTTCTTTCTAAAATCAATATATATATATATATATTAAAAGTAATGAAGTACCCATATATGCTGCAATAAGGATGAACCTAGTAAACAATATGCTAATAAGGAAGCTAGATACAGCCCTGGCTGGTTTTGCTCAGTGGATAGAGCATTGGCCTGCAGACTGAAGGGTCTGGGGTTCAAATCTGATCAGGGGTACATGCCCAGGTTGTGGGCTCGATCCCGGTGTGGGGGGTGCAGGAAGCAGCCGATCAATGATTCTCTCTCATCATTGATGTTTCTGTCACTCTCTCCCTCTCCCTTCCTCTCTGAACTCAACAAAAAAATATTTTTTTTAAAAATAGAAGCTAGATACAAAAGGCCACATATTCTACATATATGCATGATATGTCCAGACTAGGCAAATCCAGAGACTGAAAGTACCTAGTAGTTGCCAGGGCTCAAAGACGAGGGAATAGAGATGTGACTCTTAACTGATATGGGGCTTCCTTTTGAGGTGATGAAATTAGAATAAGATGGTATAAGGTTGCACAACCTTATTAATCTAATAAAAACCACTGACTTGATTGCTTCTCAGTCTTTTGGCTAAAATCAAGTATAAAAAGCACTGACTTGTACACTTTAAAGGATGAATATTATACTATTGAACTTTATCTGAACAAAAATCAAAATGATGGAAAATGACATAAAACACCACAGAGTCATGCAAAGCTACTTTCCAAACATGTACAAGCCAAAGTTTCTCATTAAAAGCTGACTTTATGTGACTCGGCATCAACAATGGGCAGCAGGGATGGAATTAAAACCTTACCTGTAGGAACAAATAAAGTATGTCCCTGCTTTACCACACATTTGTAGCACTTATCCACCTTATCTCCAAAGAACACCTCACTCTGGGTCACAGATGAACTCCAAGACTCATAGAGTGCTAAATTTTCATCTGTTGGCTTTATCAAATAAAAAATCTTCTCACCCTAAAAGGAAGTTTGCACAGTTATTAAAAAGAAAAAGTCATTCTTAGGATGGCCTACATTGATTCAATTTCCCAATACAATGCCCTAAATTAAATAAGATAATTGTTATATATATATATATATATTAGGCACAAAAAGACATACGTCACATACCTTATCAATAGCTATTGCCCTTACCAAGTATCTTCTCAAAAGCTAAAAGATCCTGCTACCAAATATGACAAGGAGTCAATAAGTAGTATTGGAGAAATAGTTATGAGAAGAAGGTAGAAAGTATCACAAACATCCTACTGATCTCATTTTCAAGGTATAGAAGTAAATAGATCCCAGGTTACAGTCATTTCTGAAATTTTGCCCTTTCTCCTAAGATCTATAATATAATGATTATTTTTAAAGGCCTGCAAATCAACTTCCTTTAATAAACTAACCCTTGGCTTTCTCATGGAGAAAAGAAATAGGAGCTTAAGAACATGAAATCATATACCATAGTACAGAGCATTGCTGATGCATAGGTATTTAATATAGACAAAGACTTGGTTCTAGATCAGCACCACCAAGCACAATGTCCTATGATGAATGTAATATCTTATATCTGTGCTATCCAATATAATAGTCATAAGCCCCATATGGCTACTGTGATAAGTCAGAAAAGGCATAAAACACTAATTCATAAAATACTAATTTAAAATTCATTTGTACTAAAATTCAAATTTTAGTTTCTTAAGTGAGGAGCTGGATTTTCAATTATATTTAATTTTCATTATTTAAATTTAGCCACATGTGGCTAGTAGCTCCTATGAATAGTATAGTACCAGATAAAACAAGGTGAATATACCAGTAAGCTGCCAAGAAGAATTAATATTTCATGGACCTTCCTGACTTATTCAACTAGCTGTCTTGGCCTAATCTTGAGGTCAGAAGCAATTACTATTACTGTAATTTTGCTCCTTCTCAGGTATTGATACCGGGATTAAGTTATAATTTTTGAGGAAGAGACAAAAGGCTACAAGAGACCAACTTATAAGATAATGGTCCAAACAAGAGAATCTAAATATAAATTAAAAACTCATGGCTCCTTTATTATTTGGGGTTTAAAAATCATAACATTTAAAGGTAAAATGACAGATCCTACTTAAAAAGTACAAATACTTCCCTCTTTAAAATGTCATTTTCAGCAAATGAATGCACCCCTGGAAAAATAGTACTACTAATATATATTTTTATCAATAAGAGAACAAAGAAATACCCCAATCTTACCCAGAGGACATGGTACCAAACTGAAGTTCCACCAAAATCAATGTGGAAATCTGTGTAGCTGTCTTGAACTCCCATTAAGCAGTATTTCTGAACAAATGGCTTGGGAAAGACTGAATCATCTGGCCAATAATTTTCCACCCAGGAAAGTTTTCTGGCTATGTCAGGGACCTCCACCAATTCAGACATCCTTTTAAAAAACAAACAAACACACACACACACACACACACACACACACACACACACCACAAATTAAAACTTCTTAAAATGGCATCTCCCATCTCAACCCATACCAAGAGATTAACTGGAAATCAAAGTTAACAACAATACTTCAAGTTTAAAGCCCATTGTATTTCGAAATATTCTCTGAGGATGCCAAAGCAAAATTTACAACGCTGCTATCACTGGAGCGCTTAAGAAGTCACAACTATGTTTCTTACTAAAATAAATTTAGCATTTAACTACATTTAGCTAACACTCAAAAGGCTAACCCAAAATGTCCAGAACTACTCACTTTGTATCTGAAAATTCAAGGCTGATCACATTTAACACTTTTGGTCTGTTAGGATTCATGAAGTATTTAACATAATTGTGAAGTGTCATTTTGCTGTCTGCCTGTCTTGCCACATCAATGACATCTATCACTTTGTCACCACCTGAAGAAAAAAGTTATAGTCTTATTATTGGGCTTAAAAGTTACATCAATAGAACCCTAAACAAAAGTATATAGCTTACACAAAGAGTCTCCCTATACCCTTAATTTTTAAGTCCAACAGGAACTTTTGAAAAGGAGGATGGTTTTTAAAGGAAAGAAAGTAAGTAAGACAGAGCTGCATAATTACTACTGAGTGTGAAAACTTGTATGTTTACATGTGCCAATTATTTCTTGTGTGCAGCTCACAATACAAAAATGCATTAGACTGGTTTGTAGAAACTGCCATATGCTCTGATTTTCACTTCTTCATGCATAAAATGAGGGGGACTATCTTTTCCCTTTCACCTCTGTAATACCTAACATTCTAAGTCTACCATTTTGAAAAACTGATCAGTCATTGGGGGACAAGTTAACTATGACAAACAATTTCTGCTTGCCTAGTAGTCTTCTCTTCTAATATTCTGCTTCAAGAAAATATTAGTAGTTATAAAGCAAAAATCAGTCATATTAGTGTCTGTGGAATGAGTTCTCAATTGGAATAAATTTTATAAATTTCCTGTAAAATCATGAGGTGTTGTTTGCACACCACTGCATCATCACCCTAGTAAGCATAATCAGTATTACTATGTCCTACAGGACATTGTAAATATAACAATGCTTAACCTATCTGAAATAGAAAACAAATACATGCCATTTTTTACTTTAATGTAATTTTACATATGTTAAAAACCTAGTAGACTTTATTTTATACTTAAAAGGCAAGACAATTCTGTTAAATGAAGGGCTTTACAAGTACTAAAAAGTCAACTATAAAATAATTTGAATAATTTTTTTCCTATAGTTACATTACACTATATTTACTTTACAGTGCTATGTAGGCAAACAGATTTAGGTTAAACCTCAGCTTCAACCCCTAATTTATCAAATATTCAAAATCACCTGAAGTGAAGTCATGCCATTTAATGAGTCTCCTCTCTGTACCAGTTATCACTGAGCACTATCAGACTGAAGGCTCAGTAAAAGGACAAGTTCTCAGATACATAACGTACTACAGTGGGTGTGCAGTTTTGAGTCAAGTTATATTGGAGATATAATCCTCAAGTAATACCTACGGTATCTATTGCTGACGAGGAATGAGATCTACATGTAGTCACTTTATCTATGAATACCATGATGAGAATAAATAACAAAAATGTCAACAGATGAATGATTTCTCCCTTGTTTCTTATGCCTTTCCAGGCCTCAAAATAACAAACTAGGTCCAGACATTATTAAATGGCAATATCACCAAGTCATAAATATAAAAACAGGTTTGAAAATATCTCTTCTTGCACCTGAATGCTACAGAGGTCTAAATCCAATCCAATTCCCCATTGTCTTTTTCCCAGTATCTGAAGCTACCCATCAGCAAGTGCCAGAAAATTTGATGACAACAAAAAAAGCAGCAGGGTGAATCTCAGGAAATAAAGAATAGGCAAAAATGTTTCATTCTGTTTTTTTTTTCATAATGGTAAATTTGTCGAGAGAAAAAAGTTTTCAACATAGGAAATATTGAGTTGCACCTTTTCTGATCCAGGAAACTGAACTAAATTAACCTATTTTTATCCAATTTTTAATATTGTTAGGACAATATCTTTACTTTTACCATGTATTCACAAGTACATAAAGGAATCAAGTTCGTACCTACATGACGTTCCACATCCATAACAGAAAATGTAACTGCAGGAAGCCTGAGTCCTAGGTCATCTAACTTAGGGACCATGATAGGGACCTCAAATCCATGTTTCTCCAGATATCTCTGTGTCAGCTGGCTGCCATGCATTTTCACAATGATCTCGTCAGCACTAAGGAAAATGGAAGAGTAAAATGTCATCTTTGTTAAGTTCAGTTTAAAAATAACTCTGATAGTGAGTTAATTCATATGGTACATTATTATCTTATCTATATCAGTGGTTCTCAACCTGTTATACCTGATTCCTCTTTTTAGAATAAATGTGTTTTTTATAAAGTCCCTTTTAAAGTAAAATTTATAATTACCAATACATATAATTGAAAATATATCCTATATAATAAAAGCCTAATATGCTAAGTGTCCAGTTGACTGGTTGGTTTTTCAACCAATCAAAGCGTAATATGCTAATGACATGCTAAGGCCACTCAACTGCTCACTATGATGTGCACTGGCCACCAGGGGCTCTAGTCTTACCTAATAATAAACAAACATGTAAATTGACCATACCTTCACTACACCATCAGCCAATTAGGAGAGATATGCAAATTAACCCAACAAAGATGGCAGTTAATTTGCATACACAGGTGCTGAATAATGTGGGTGGGTGGGATGCTTAACGCCTGGACCTAGTTTGCAGTCCCATTGACACTCAGACTTACTAGCTTTAGGCTACTGACCACAGGGTGGGGCAAGAGGTTTTCCAACAGGGTAGGGCAACTGCTTTTCCCCCAGGCAAAAACCTCCCGGATAGCAAAAGTCCGCAGCCAGAGAAATATGTTCTAAGGGAATGACTCTGTACAGGAAACTGGGCTTTCTGCCCCACCCCCAGTCTCCCAGGGCCTCTGGGCAGTGTGAGAAGGTGGGGCTAGAGAGGAAAGAGGAAGCTCCTAAGTGGAAAGAGGTGGCTCAGAGCCTGAGTGGAAAAAGGCTGGGCTGGAGTGGAAAGGTGGTGCTGGCAGCCAGGGAAAGGAAAGCCCATTCTAGCACAAATCTTCGTGCATCGGGCTTCTAGTGTTATATAAAATGCCTTAAGTATAAGAGAAAAAAAATAGTTCATAGTAAAACATGTATTTCAGTATGTAAATGTTTATATAAGCTACAGTAAAAGAGATACTAGAATAATAGGATGTGGATTCCAAAATGATGGTGGAGTAGTGAAAGCTACATTGATACTCTTCCAGACCAAACTGAAAATGCAACTAAAATATAAAGAACCACTCTGAAAAATCAACTGAAAACTAGCTGGAAATATTTAAATACTATTATATTAATAAAAATACTATTATATTTTCCTGATAACCAAAGATGTAAAGTGGAGACCACAGAGAGACTGGTAGGAAGTGCAGAGGCACAAAAGGGCTGCCCAGGCTCCCACAGAGAGCAACTGAAGTTCTGAAGGGATATCTTAGAGCTGTGAGGGGGTTCCCACTGAGAACTCTAGGGTTGTTTTTTGTTTGTTTGTTTGTTTGTTTAATTAATTTCAGAGAGGAAGGGAGAGGGAGTGAGAGATAGAAACATCAATGATGAGCTAACACTCTATCCACTGAGCCAAACCGGCTATGGCAGAACTCTGGGGTCTTAAACTCCAAGCTGGGATCCCAGCCCAGAAAACCAGAATTGAGAAAGGTCGCCACAGAACATCTGGCTGTGAAAAGCAGCAAGGTTAATGTCTGCCAGCAAGAGAATGCTGGAAATGCAGGCACCCTCTTAAAGAGCCAATGCACAAAATTTTGTGTATAGCCACTTGCCTTGGGCTCCAGCAGAGGGAAGGTAGAGTGGACTGAAGCTGTATGAGCAGTAACCAGGATTGGGGGCTCTGGGATTGGGGAGTAACGGGCAGCCACCCCAGTTTCCTGTATGGAGTCATTCCCTTACACTGTGGAGGACATATTTCTGTAACTGCAGACCTTTGCTATCCAGGAGGTTTTTGCCTGGGGAGAAGGCAGTTGCCCCACCCTGTTGGAAGTCCTCTTGCCCCACCCTGTGGTCAATAGTCTAAAGCTAGTAAGTCTGAGTGTCAATGGGACTGCAAGCAGAAAGAGGCTCTGGAGGCTTTGAGTCTTTGCCTGATCTAATCCTGGGACTAGAAAAAGCACACCCTGGTGAACATTTTGGTTCTTTCCAAAGGCACCCAGCCCCAGCAAAGGAAGCCACAGGCTGTGGATTGCTAATATCTCTAAGCAGAGTACTCAGGGCCAATCACAAGTAGTACCTGACATTGTTCTGCACTAGAGATTGGCAGTCCTAGCAGATCTCCCTAATACAGAGAAGCAAACCTAAACAAGTATGGGGAGAGAAAAAACAAGCCCCAAATGAAAGAACAAGATAATTCTCCAGAAGAACTAAATGAAATGGAGATAAGAAATTCATCAGACTCAAAACAAGCCAGAGTAAAATCATTTGGGTGGAGGGGGGTTGGGGGGGAGAGTGGGGAGAACCAAGTCAAATTTATAGAAAATATCCCTTTTTTAACTTTTGGTTAAGAATATGTTTGTATATTTTCAGAAAACAACTCTGAGACCATGTGGATTCCTGCAAGAGAGAAAAATTGACAGGAGTGTTCCAGCCATGAAGACAGAAGAGAAACAGTCCAGAGATTGAAGACATTGACACCGCCTTGCCATACTAGCAGACAGCAGCTGTGCAATGCGGAAGGATGCCCAGGACCAAACCAGAGATGGTCGGACCTGCATCAACACCATTTGTCAACCAACCAGATCTGAAATACCATGCCTGACATGCACATATAAGAAACTGTTTGACATTGAAATTGGGACTCAAAAAAACTGTTAGCCCAGAAAGGAACTCACTATAGACTGATTCATTTGCGCCTCAGTATAACCATTATGGCTTGTCTCAGTTTCGGTCTTTATAAGGGAATTCCTTGTATCACATGATCTAAAGCATCTAGGGGAAATAATGAACAACATAAATGGATAAACAAAAACAGACTTGGAGACAAAGAAGCAGCAATCAGACTGTCAAACCTCAGAGGGAAGGTAGGGGAGGGTGGGGGCAAAGGGGAGAAATCAACCAAAGGACTGTGTGCATGCATATAAGCCTAACCAGAGGTCATGGACAACAGGGAGTGGGCATACGTGGGAAGGGGTTTGGGATAGGAATGGGGGGGTGAGGACAATTATGTAATACCATAATCAATAAAGAAATTAAAAAAAAAAAGAAATTCATCAGACAGAGTTCAAAATAATGATGACAAGGATGTTCAAGAGCATGAGAAAAGATAGTAACTATGAAGAATGACATAGCACTAATAAAGAACACAGTGGAAGGAATACACAGCAGATTAGGGGAAGCCAAGGATCGGACCAGTGAATTAGAAGATAGGTTAAAAAAGAATTACTCATTCAGAGAATCAAAAGAACAGGAGGATAATTTAAGGGAGCTATGGGACAACATGAAACTTAACAATATTTGCATAATAGGTATGCCAAAAGAGGCAGAAAGTGAGCAAGGGATAGAGAATATGTTTGAAGAAATAATGGCAGGAAAGTTCCCTAACCTGGTGAAGGAAAAAGTTACACAAGTTCAGGAGGCATAGAGAGTCACAAGCAAAAAGAACCAAAATAGGCCCACACTCAGACACATCATAATTAAAATGCCAAAAATTAAAGACAAAGAGAAAAACTTAAAAACAGCAGGAGAAAGGCAATTTGTTACCTACAAAGGAGCTCCCATAAGCCTGTCAGCTCATTTCTCATCAGAAACTCTACAGGCCTGCAAGGATTCAAGGTAATGAAAATCAAGGATCTGAAACTAAGATTACTACTCTGTTTCCCCGAAAATAAGACAGTGTCTTATATTAATTTTTGCTCCCAAAGATGTGCTAGGCCTTATTTTCAGGGGATGTCTTATTTTTCCATGAAGAAGAATATGGTACACATTGTTAAATGAAAATAAAGGAAATTTATTACCTGTATACGGTACGGTAGTTGTCAACACAAACCAGACAAACTGTGAATCCTACAGTATCAAGAATTTACTCATTTATTCAATGACGATCATGTCATCATCTTCTGGATCATCATAACAATCCAATTCCTGAATTTCCTGGTGAATTTCTTGACTCCATTTCTTTCAGAATCAGTGGACCAAATCTCTCATGTTTAGCCCAGGGGAGCCTTATTTTCAGGGGGATGCCTTATATTTCACTCAGAAGGAAACCTGTAAGTAGGTCTTATTTTCGGAGGATGTCTTATTTTCGGGGAAACATGGTATATCCAGCAAGGCTATCATTCAAAATAGATGGTGAAATAAAGAGCTTCCCAGACAAAAAAAGGCTAAAGGAGTTTATCACCTCCAAACCAGCACTGCAAGAAATGCTAAAGGGACTGCTATAATGAGAAGAAATAGAGAGAAACATAGGCATAAAGAACTAAAAATGGCAATAAATTAGTACCTATCAATAACCTTAACTGTTATTATTAAATGCTCCAATCAAAAGACACAGGATAGCTGAATGGATACAAAAACATGGACCAATTATATGGTGTCTACAAGAGACCCCAACTCAGAACAAAGATTCACACAGGATGGCAGTGGAGGGATGGAAAAAAATTTATATGCAAATGGAAATGAAAAAAAAAAAAAAACTAGGGTAGTGGGGGGTGGGGATTGGTGAGGTATGTACACATACAATACCTTAATAAAAAAATTTAAAAATAAACTAGGGTACCAATATTCATATCTGACAAAGTAGACTTCAAAATGAAGATCATCACAATAGACAATAAAAGTCACTACGTAATATTAAAGGGATCAATCCACCAAGATTGATGGTAAACTTATATGCACCCAATATAGGAACACCTAAATATACAAAAAAATATTCTAGAGGAATTTAAGGGAGAAATCGACAACAATACAGTCACAGTAGGGAACTTTTAACACCCCACTGACTTCACTGGATAGATCTTCCAGACAAAAAATTAACAAGGAAACAAAGACTCTAAATGATATAATGGATCAAATGGGTTTAACTGACATCTATGGGACAGTTCACCCCAAAGCTGCAGCATATACATTCTTCTCAAGTGCACATGGGTAATTATCAAAGACAGACCACATATCAATATTAGGACACAAAAAATTATC